CCCTTAGAATCGAAGGCTTCTTGGCTTCCCCTGTTGCTGAGGAGCCCGACACCACCCCAGCCGCGTAACCACCTGTCAGGTAAAGAACAAGAATGTTGCTGCGTAAGCCCCTTCCAGTGGCCTCTCCCGATCACAACGTCCTCACTCCCCCCAAACAACTTGACTTTTATAGTAATTACTTCCTTGCATTTCAAAGTTAACACCCAAATGTGTATCCCTAGAGGCTCTAGTTTAGTCTTACCTCTTTTAAAAAAAAAACTTATTTGAGATGTCTTTTAAGTATCTTTTTTACTTTCTACATCTTAATTTTTAAAATTTTCCTTGTTCTTCCGTTGAACTGGACCCTTTGATCAACAGAGTCTTCCACGGTGTGAGTTTTGCTAATTGCATGCTCATGGTTCAGCTCAGTATCCCTCAGGCCTCTATTTCTTGCAAAATTGGCATCTGGATCCAGAGATTTAATCAGACACAGGTTCGGGCTATGGGAGGCATGAAATGTCTGGTTGTCTCTCCTATTGTGATGATGGCAGCTTTAGGTACCAAAATGTCTGTGTAAGTGGTAGGTTGGAAAATGGTGGAATTCTAAGTCTACAGTTTATTTTTCATGTACAAGTTGAAACACTCTGTAAAGATACTTCTCCTCATCTCCTACTTGGTTACCTATTTGTACATCTCATATAAGAATTGATTTATTCTTTCACTTGATTTACTAGTTTTTCAAGATATCCATTCCTTAATCCTTTGTATGAAACCTGTTTGGTTTTGGGGTTCCCCCCCCCTTATTGGGAAACTAGTGATCTCTTTGTCATCACTGTTTTCAACCTTTTTTATCTTTTAATTATGAGCACATGCACAGGAATTCCACAAAAATATGAGACTACTGTTTTCAAATTTCTGATGGATGATTTCATCCATCAAGGTGGGCATGATAGGTCCTTTTAATCTTGAAAAATCTTCAAGTCTAGAAAATGTTACTGCCTTTTCTTCTTTGATTTCTCCCCTCCAGTTTCTCTGTCTCTCTCTTGGTGATTCCTATTGTTCAGATTTTGTACCAACTGGATTAGTGCTCTAATTTTCTTTTTTTTTTTGAGACAGAGTCTTGCTTTGTTGCCCAGGCTAGAGTGAGTGCCATGGCGTCAGCCTAGCTCACAGGAACCTCAAACTCCTGGGCTCAAGCAATCCTCCTGCCTCAGCCTCCTGAGTAGCTGGGACTACAGGCATGTGCCACCATGCCCGGCTAATTTTTTCTATATATATATTAGTTGGCCAATTAATTTGTTTCTATTTATAGTAGAGACGGGGTCTCACTCTTGCTCAGGCTGGTTTCGAACTCCTGACCTCGAGCAATCCGCCCGCCTCGGCCTCCCAGAGTGCTAGGATTACAGGCGTGAGCCACCGCGCCCGCCGGCCTAATTTTCTTAATCATATCTCTTTTTGTTCCACTTTTTCTGGGAAGTTTCCTGAACTTTATTTTATCCGATTCTCTGTTCACCTTATCATTTCTGCCATCATATTTTTATTTTCTAAGAGTTCTTTCTTGTTTTCTTTTGTTATTTTAAATAGCTCCTCCTCTTATTGTATGGATGCAGTATTTTCTTCCTGAAAACAATGAGTTTTAAATAAAGTTTTCTTCTAGCATTTTGTCTCCTCCAATTTTTCTCTGCTTGTGGATTTGTTTGACTTTTTTTTTTTTTTTTTGAGACAGGTTTCGAACTCCTGACCTTGAGCAATCCGCCTGCCTCGGCCTCCCAGGTTTGACTTTTAATACTAGAGATTTTCTTTGAATGTCTGAGGATCTTTGAATGTCCAGTCATATATATGAGTAGAAGGGAAGATTCAATGTAGCATTTTTAGATAGTCCTTCCTAGGCTGATGCCTAGAGGGGGATTTTTGGATCTTTATGTCTTCTAATAATAGTATTCCTGAAATCCAACTGGAGGAAGGAAGGCTGGAGAAGTCTCAATTGTTAATGTGCATATTTTTATGCAGTCCCAATTTTTGTATGGTACCCCTCTATCCTCAACTCTGCCCACAGCCCAAAGATTTCTTGTTTTACCCTCACCAGGGGAGGAAACCTCCATTTCTTATTCCATACTCGGAGAGGGAGTCATTTGTTACACTAAGTCAAAGAAGAGGTGTGGGTATCTAACTGCTTATTTTATTTCATCAGCAGCTAATCCATCTATTTTTAGCCCAATCTTTGCATCCCTTTCTAAAGATACCTGGTGCATTGATTCCTGAGCTTTTTGAGCATCCTAAGGTATAAATTAGCTTGTCATGTTGCTGTCTCCACTGCTCGCTTCCATATATTTTCAGTGTATATGATTCACCTGAGGATTTTATTTAAAATGCAGATTGATTCAGTAGGTCTGAGTTGGAGGTTCAGAGTCTGTATTTATAGCAATTTCCTAGATGATGCTTATGCTCCTGGTCCTTTGACCACATTTTGTAAAGCAAAGTGCTCATTTACCATTCATCCATTCATTTTCCAGCCTCTGGAATTTTGTCCTTGAAGGTTTATGCCTTTTTAGCACATGGACTGCCATGTGAGTTGTATTTAACTCAGGTTAGTTTTGAGCCCAGGGCCTCATGAAGCAAAATCCTGCAGCTGGTCCATGAAAATCTTCCTTGTTGGTGTTCTTATTGTTACAATTAATATTGACACTTTAGTTCTAAAAACATGGATTGCATTGCATATAACTCACGCACAGAAAACAGTAAAAAATATCAAATTAGAAAGGATCATTTTGTCTTAATAAAACATTGTGGCCCCAGGGAAAAATTTTTTTTCTAGTGTGGCAGTCAGTGTGTTAAAAAGGTTATGAAAATTTTCAAACATACATACAAATAGAATAGCCATTAACCAATGGTCAATCCTGCCCCATCTGCACTCCAGTCCACTACCGACCCCCACAGTGTTATTTTGAAGCAAATTGCAGAGGATCTGCCTCATCTGTATGTATTTCAGTTCATATTTTTTTAAATAGTGACATTTTAAAATAACCATGTGTTAGTTTTTAGGGCTGCCATAACAAAATGCCACAGACTAGGAGGCTAAAACTGCAAATTTATTTTCTCACAGTTCTGGAGGCTGTAAGTTTGAGATCAGGTATTGATTGATAAGGTTGATTTTTCCTGAGGCTTCTCTGCTTGGTTTGTAGATGACTTGTTGTTTCCTCACATGGCCTTTGTTCTGTGCTGAGCATCCCTGGTGTCTTGTGTGTGTGTGTGTCCAGATTACCTCTTTAAAGGCCCTATCTTCAAATACAGTTACATTTTGAGGTACTAGGAGTTAGGGCTTCAACATGTGGATTTGGAGGGGACACAGTTCAGCCCATTACACCATAATATCATCATTATATCCCAAATTAAAAATCCCTCAATATCCTAAAATTTCTAGTCAGTGTTCAAACTTCCAGTTGTCTTATAAATTTAAATCTTTGTTTCACTAAATTCAGATAAGTTCTACACATTGTACTTGGATATTTTAAGTCTCTTAATCCTTTAGGTAGAAGTTGATACAATTTACTTGAAGAAACAAGTTGTACTGTAGAATTTACCACCATTTGGATTTCGTTTACTGCATCCTGTGGGGGTCATTAAACATGTTCTTCTACCCTCTGTTTTTCTTGTAAATCAGTAGTTGAATCTACAGGTTTGATCGGGTTCTAATTTTTTGGCAGGTAGATACTGGTATATTCTTTCATCTCTGCCTTTGAGTATTAGCAGCTGTTGATGATCGTTGGCTATCCCCATGTAGTATATCAGGGGTTGCAACATGGCGAATTTCAAATTTTATCATTCCTGTTCACTCACTAGAGTACTTCCATAAAAGTAGACATCCCCTCACTTACTATTTTGTCACCAAGTGTTAATTAGTACAGGAAAGGCAGGAAGAATGTTTCTTTCCCAGTATTTACCAGTTTAAAAATGGTGACTTGATTATCCAGTGTTCCTCGATGTTACAAATTAGGTTTGCTTATTTATTTTAGAATTAAGTAAAAACTCAATTTTCTGTTATTTGTTATGAAAGGGAGCAGAGGGAAGTGCATTTGTTTAAAACCACCTTTCATTGGAAGTTGTATCATAATTCAGGTAGCCAGTTTCTTGCTACTGAACATTTAAATTCCAGGTTTTCACTTTTTTTATATCCAATACTCTGAGATGGACATCCTTTAAAAATAAGTTAATAAAAACATTCATTTTTAGTGTATAATTTGAATTTTGGAAAATGTATACACTTGAATGACAACCCCAATTCAAATATAGAACATTCTCATCCCTACAAAACATTCCCTTCTGCCCCTCTGCCCCAGCCTGGCCCAAGATTTCCACTGATGGCCTCTCTGGCCTCGTGGATCAGTTTTGTTTGTTTTGAATTCCATGTAATTGGAACTACACAGTCTATACTCAAAACTGTTACGTCATGTTCCTTGTTCAGCATGTTTTGAGATTTGTCCCTGTGTAGCATGTATCAGTACTTCATTCCTTTGTATTGCTGAAATGTATTTCCCTGTATAGATACACTACAGTTTTGTTATCCATTCTCCTGTGGATGGATATTCGGGATATTTCCAATTTGAGGCCATGATGAATAAATCTCCTACACATATTTGTGTACAAGCCTTTTTTTAATTTTAAAATTTTCTTTATTTTTATTAATTATGGGTACATGGCTTATTTAATATGAAATGTCCAATTTCAAATCAAAAGTGTAGTTTACATATCTCAAATGAGAAGCAGTACAATTAAAGTATATGCACATGAACTGTGAATAGTTTTGCCATCTTAACAGTACCTTGTTTATGCCAGCAGCAAAGAAGCCTAGAGAGCAAGTGGTGATGAGATCTCAAAAGGTATTTTCCACAGATTGTTGAGAACTGAATATTTGTCCTTGCAATAAGTTGAACAAGCCTTTTTATGGATATTTGTTTTCATTTCTCTTGAATAAATATATAGGAATGGGATTACAGGGTAGTAAGTTGGTACTTGAATGTTTAACATTGTAAGAAACTACCAAACTGTTTTCCTAAGTGGTTGTACCATTTTACAATGCCTTAAGCAATGGAGGGATTTAGTTATTCCAATTCCTTGCCAAAACATGTATTGCTATAGTCTTTTAGAATTTTAGCTATTGTAGTGGGCATGCATAGGTATCTCATTGTGGTTTCCATTTACATTTTCCCAATGTATCTGTTCATATCTTTTTCCATTTTTCTAATGGGCTAATTATCTTACTGTAAGAGATATTCTAGATCCAAGTCATTTGTCACAATATTTTGACTATTTTCTTAGTCTATAGCTTACATTTTCATTTTCTTAACTGTCCTTTTAGGGAGAAGTGTGTGTTTTTCAGTGAAGTCAAATGTATCAATTTATGTGTGTGTGCCTTGCCTAAGAAATGTTTGCTTACTGTAGTGGGTTGACTAGTGTCCCCACAAAATTCAGGTCCACCTGGAACCTTAGAATGTGACCTTATTTGGAATAATCTGGAAAATTGGTTGTTTGCAGATATAATTAAGATAAGGTCATAGTAGGTGAGGGTGAGCTATAAATCCAATGACTGGTGTTCTTATATTAATAATAAGAGAAGAGACATCACAAGAAGGACATATGAAGAAAGAGGTAGAGACTGACCTTACACTGCCATAAACCAAGGAGTGTCAGGAGCCAGCAGAAGCTGGAAAAGGCAAGAAAGGATTCTCCTCTAGAGCCGTCAAAGGGAAGATGGTTCTGCTGACTTCTGGCCTTTGGAACTATGAGAGAATAAATTTCTGTTGTTTTAAGCAACTCAGTTTAAATTTACCACCAGTGGTAATTTGTTATGGAAACTAATATACCTGCTCAAGATTGCAAAGATTTTCTTCTAGAAATTTCAGTTTTACTTCAGCATTTAGTCCCATGATCCATTTTAAGTTTATTTTTGTGTATGGTGTGAAGTCAAGGTTAATTTTTCCCCCATGGATATATTACTTTACAGCATCATTTTCAGAAGACTATCTCCCATTGAATTACCTTGTACTTTTGTTGCAAATCAGTTGACCAAAAATGTGTGGGTCTTTTTCTGGACTCTTTTCTGTCCTACTGATTTACAGGACAATCCTTATATTAATACAACACTGTATTTCTGTACTTTTATAGCAAGTCTTAAAATCAGTGTAGATCCTCCAGCTTTGTTAAAAAATTATTTTGACTCTATTAGGCACTTGCAATTTTATATAAGTTATAGAATCAGCATGCCAATTTCTACAGAAAAACTTCCTAAGTCTTCCAATCTATGGTGTATCTTGTTAATTTAGGTTTTTTAAAATTTCTGTTACATTTTAAAATTTTAGAATACTGTGCTTGCATGTGCTTTGTCAAGTTTACCCTTGTTTCTTATTTTCAGTGTTATTATAAATGATGTATTTCCTTTCCCAATTGTCTATTGGTAGTATATAGAAGTACAATTTTTATTTATTAATGTACAACCTTGATTTAGTTGCTTTTACTGTAGGGTCCTTAGATTTTTCTAAATATGTGATTATATCACCCATGTATAAAGAGAGTTTTATTTCCTTCTTTCCAATTTATATGCCTTTTATTTCTTGTCATTACCTTATTGTGCTGGCTAGGACCTCCAATAATATGTGAGTAGGAGTGGAGAGTAGACATCACATTGTTCCTGATACTGGGGAAAATGGCCACTTTTTCACTAAGCATCAGGTTAGATATTGGCTTTTTGTAGATGCTGCTTATTTGGTTGGGAAAGTGGCCTGCGAGAGTTTTTTTATCATTGTTAACTGCTTCTTCATCTATTCAGAGGATCATATCGTTTTTCTCCTTTATTCTGTGAATATGGTAGATTATTGATTTGCTAATGTTGAACTAAGCTTGTATTGGCCATGATGTAATAAAGATTCAGTTTGCTAATATTTTGTTAAAAATTTTATCTCCATGTTTGTGAGGGATGTTGACTTATAATTTAGTTTTCTTGAAATATCTTTGGTTTTTATCAGGGTAATTCTAGTCTTGTGAAACAAGTTGGGAGGTATTTTTCTCCTCTCTGCTCTTTAAGTTTGGTTTCAATCCCACAGAAAGTTATACTTTTTCTAAGCAGGGATCTGGAGCCAGTTTCACTGGACTCATTATTAAAATATCTCCTACTGATGGTTATTTTTGTTTTTTATCTTTTACACAGAACTTACATGGCATTTTGGTATAACAAAATGAAATGCAGAAAACCCAAAGGAACATAATTGAAGGCACTAAAACCAAAATAAAATAGGAAGATCATCAGTCAAGACAGACATACTGGAGAGTAAGTATGGGATGTTGTTAAGAATTGAGTTGTAAATAGAAAGCACAGAGGCACTGCTGATGGCTTCCAGACTGGGCCAGATCACAAAGCCAGCCCATGCGAGAGACAAGATGCCTGGAAAAGAACTTCTACGTTAACTTTTAAGGTTGCTTATGAGGCATATTAGTTGATTCATAAGTTATTTCAAAAACATGCAGCAAAAGGAGCAATGTCTTATAAATCTCTGAATTTCTGTAGTTACTGTGAACATTTTTCAAAGGAAAATTGGTGACATGCAGCTTATCAAAGGATTATTGTCTTGTCCAGGAAGCTGGTTTAAAGAATAAAATATTGGAATTTTGAATAATTACATATAAAATTGGTCTCATCTAAGAAAGTTTTGATTGGTTTCCATGACTGCATATTTAGAAACTACTGTAAAACAACCAAAATCTTGTTTTCCAGTTTCTTCCTTTCTATTGCTTTTAATCACCTCAGTTGCATGTCTACCCTGGGTGTAATTTTTCTTCCAGCTCTATGATTCTCTTACATGTTCCATTTCAGACTTGTCTCTTTCTTCTGGTCCTCTTCTGAAGAGATTCTTGATTAGTGCCTTGGTGGCTGTAGCTGGTCCGTCCTCCCTCCTCTGAGAACCTTCTTTAAGCCCCTAGGAGACACTAGAGTCCTCCCCCAGGCACTAGCCTGCCTTTCTAGCCTTCCAGTTGACTCTGCCTCGAGAGTCAATGGTGAAATGCAAACTTAGGAACCATCTCTTGGATGTTGCCTATTCAGCTTTTCTTATTTAATTTAGGATAGGAGTTATAAAAAAGATAAAATATTTTGACACAGATAATCCTTTTTTATTTCTTTTATCCTAAAGATACATTATGGGTCTTTATAAATATGAACCCACATGATTTCCCCCTTCTTCACCCTCATTTTAAACCAACATTGGCTCTTTAAAACTAAGCCTGTTTTTTTCTTGGCACAAGGGGCCCTTCATGGTCTTATTCCATCTAGGCTTCCTTATCCAAGCAACACTGCTTACAAGGCCAATGGCATTTGTCAAGTTGGCGGCTAAGTCTTTGTGCACTTGTACATCAAATCTGGAATGGAACTTTTTTGGATAGGGGTAAGTTAAACTGTAGTATGTTTGAGTACAGAAAAAAACCCTTCAGTATAGGAAGCACTTACTTGGGTCTTTTATGGTTATGAAAATATACTGTATTTTTTATTACTATCTTTACATGTATATATACATGTATATAAATAGATTCATTATAAGTGAGCCCATAACACAGAGTTATGGCCATGAGAGTAAGAGTTCAATTTGTCAACAGAACTTATAGCCCTCTCTCACAATGAATTCTTTACCCTCAGACAGTCTCATTACTCCTTTGAAATTATTTAATTATCAATGATCTGCTTTTAGGCAAGTTCAGTTTTTTCACTTTTGAGACTTACTACTCCATTATTTTTTGGGAAATACAGAAAAACCTATAAGTATAATACTACCATATCAATACCTTTTTAGTATTTTTCCATGCATTTGTTACAAAAATTAGATGACATGTCACATAATTTTGTAACCTGCATTTCACTTAACATATTGTAGGAGTTTATCATGACATTACTTTTTTAACATGTAAGAAATCTGCAAGGCTTAAAATTTAACAAGTATAAAAAAGACTGAAAACTTAGTCTTCCTTCTATCTTGAGAAACATTCTTAATGGCTGCATAATAATAGGCTTTCATAAAGATGTACTACACATCCAGGTAGAGCATTCCTAACAATCTGAAGATCCCAAATCTTATTCTAAAATCTGAAACTTTTTGAGCACTGATATGACACTCAAATGCTTACTAGATCATTTCAGAGTTCAGATTTTTGGATTAGAGTTACTCAACTAATATAATGCAAATATTCCCAAATCCAAAAAAAATCAAAAATCTAGTCCATTTCAAATAAGGAATACTCAACTTATACTATTTATTTAGTTTTTAAGAGATAGGGTCTCACTCTGTCACCCTGGCTGGAGTGCAGTGGCCCACTCATAGCTCCTTTAACCTCGAATTCCTGAGCTCAAGCAGTCCTCCCACCTCGTCCTCCAAGTAGCTAGAACTACAGGTCCCTGCAACAATGCCCCAGCTATCTTTTATTTTTTGTAGAAAAGAGGTCTCATTGTTGCCCACAAACTGGTCTTGAACTCTTGGCCTCAAGCGATCCTCCCCTATCAGCCTCCCAAAGTGCTGGGATTTTAGGCATGAATCACTACAGCCAACCCTCAATTTGTGTTATTTTTAATTCATCTCCAGTTGTGATTTTGATTTTTTATTGTTGTTTTATTTTGCTATTTATAAACACTGTGATTGAACAGTATTGTTAAAATAACTTGGGGTCAACCTTGATTTTTCTATTAAATATTAAGGATAAATGTCTTGAATTTCTTTCCTTTCCTTCCATCCTTTCTTGATTTCTTCTTCTTCTCTGACCTCTTTCTTCATCATTTCTTTTCCCTGCTTCCAAATGCATTTATGACTCCAGCATCAATTCCTTTTCTTGTGCCTTTACCTACCATGTCTTAATGTTCCCAGGTATCCATACTCAGTCCCTACTCCTTCCCTGTATTCTTCCTCTCTCCAGGTGCCATACTAGAAAGATCATATACAGAAGATAAATCCTTATCTTTCTTTCCTTCATCTATGTTCTCATTATTTTAAGCTGAACCATCTGTTTTAAACCTCTGAGCTTCAGAAAAAGATTTAATGTAAATGATCCTGTGGTTAAAAAGCTTTAAAAACTGCTATGTTAAAAGGCCAGATAAGTATAGCCTCTAAATTTTGGTGACAAGAATGGGGGTTGAGGGAGGAGGGGGAAAGGGCATTTATTGAAACCTTAAAATTTGTACCCCCATAATATGCCGGAAAAAAAAAAAGACAAAAAGAACTGCAAGAAATTATAAACTTTACTCAGTGGTTTTATTGTTATTAGTAATGTTGACATTGTCATTTTTCAACTGATATGGATATAATAAATAAGAAATTATATAAATGTGGTTAGAACCAAAACTTTACTGTAAGAGAAAAAAATCAAATAAATTAAAACTATAATTTTAAGTGGAAAAAAAAAGAATGAGAGTTGAGATAATGTTGGGAGTCAGAGTGAGAACAGGTTATAAGCTATCAGTGGCTGTTTTGAGTATTACTATCAAGCTGCTATTTTAGGCATAGATTTTGGCTCCAGTAGATAAAAGTATTTTTTTCTATTTACAAGTTATTAAAACCTACACTTATACAGGAAGGTAGTAATTTATATATAACATTTTGGTTTAAAGATCAGAGAATTCTGGACCATCTAGGTCTCAGTAAATAACCAGAGTATATACATTAATTCTTCTTGATCATGTTCTATATTCTGTAAGTATTACAAGAATATAATTCCTATATTTAATTATTTGTGAAAATGATTGGATTGAACTAAAGTAAGTTGTTAAGAATAGAGGTGCTTGCTTTGTAAAGTTTTAAAATAGAGATAGCATTAAGTTAACAAGATTTTCTTTTCTCTTTTTTTGCAGGGATGGAAAATAAAGTGAAGCAGTATTTTATCATGTGTATTTCATCAGGTCATCTTGAAATTTAACTAAAAATATGACTGCTCTTTCTTCAGAGAACTACTCTTTTCAGTACCAGTTAAATCAAACAAACCAGCTCCTAGATATTAACTGTCTGCTACTTTTGATCATACTTGGGAAAATATTATTAAATATCCTCACCCTAGGAATGAGAAGAAAAAACACCTATCAAAATTTTATGGAATATTTTTGCATTTCACTAGCATTTGTCGATCTTTTACTTTTGGTAAACATTTCCATTATATCCTATTTCAGGGACTTTGTACTATTGGGCATTAGATTTACTAAATACCACATCTGCCTATTTACTCAAATTATTTCCTTTACTTATGGCTTTTTGCCTTATCCAGTTTTCCTGATAGCTTTTATAGATTATTACCTGAATTTCTCTAAAACCACCAAGCTTTCATTTAAGTGTCAAAAGTTATTTTATTTCTTTATAATAATATTACTTTGGATTTCAGTCCTTGCTTATGTTTTGGGAGATCCAGCTATCTACCAAAGCCTGAAGGCAAAGAATATTCATTCTTATCAATGCCCTTTCTATGTTAGCATTCAGAGTTACTGGCTGTCATTTTCCATGATGATGATTCTATCTGTGGCTTTTATAACCTCTTGGTCAGAAGTTATTACCTTGGTACAGGCTATTAGAATAACTTCCTATATGAATGAGACTATCTTGTATTTTCCTTTTTTATCCCAATCTAGTTATACAATGAGCTCTAAAAAAATCCTCTTGTCTAAGCTCATTGTCTGTTTCCTTGGTACCTGGTTACCATTTGTACTACTTCAGATAATTATTCTTTTATTTAAAGTACAGATTCCAGCATATATTGAGATGAATATTCCCTGGTTGTACTTTGTCAATAGTTTCCTCGTAGCTACAGTTTATTGGTTTAATTGTCACAAGCTTAATTTAAGAGACATCGCATTACCTGTGGATCCATTTGTCAACTGGAAGTGCTGCTTCATTCCACTTATAATTCCCAATCTTGGGCAAATTGAAAAGCCCATATCAATAATAATTTGTTAATATGTTGTCATATTAAAACTAATTAAAACAACTATAATAAGAATCGTGATTTTACAGACTAGGTGTGGTGTAATCCTGTAATCATACCTGTAATCCTCATACCTGTAATCCTAGTACTTTGGGAGCACAAGGTGGGAGGATTGCTTGAACTTAAGAGTTTGAGACCAGCCTGAGCAAGAGCGAGAACCCGTCTCTACTAAAAATAGAAAAAATAGCTGGGCATCGTGGCACGCACCTGTAATCCAAGCTACTTGGGAGGCTGAGACAGGAGAACTGCTTGAGCCCAGAAGTTTGAGGTTGTAGCAAACTATGATGACACCACTACTCTCTAATCAGGGTGACAGAGCCACTCTGTCTCAAAAAAAAAAAAAAAAAAATCACTTTACAAATGGAAAAGAACTCACGAAAGAAATGAACTTAACTGAAGCACCCCCCCCCAACTCTGATACCTTTTCAGAATGTGTCTTTGGGGCTGTGATATTATTTATTCAATTGTTTTCTTTTAACCAGTTTGGTACAAGCATCGACTATAGTCGACAGCCACAGATGAATGCACAAATCAACTTTAGCTGACAGCTGTGATATGACTTTTCTGATTTTTCATTTATCAAAATAGTGAACATTTAAAAATAATGTAATAAAAATATATATGTATATGTTACCTATTCTGATTTACATTACAAGTAAAGCTGCCTGCAAGCTTTCAGTGCTTTAGAGCTTTCCTCATCACACAAGAGCAAAACAGATTCATCATCAATGCACAGCACAAACTATCGTGCGGACTATGAGTGCCGGCTGTGGGCAAGGTTTCATGGCCGGTGAGCGCCGTACTGAAGTGGTTAAAAACAATTTCAAGAAGTTTTTATACTTAAGAACACTGTATATCACAAATATTAATTTGTTATTAACACAAAAGTGAAACGAGTTAACATTTGGTCATACTGATGTTTGTGTTACCCAAAAAAATACTGAATGCAAACTGCTGTAAACCTGAGATTTCACTGCCAACCTTAAGATACAGACTTAAATATTTTTATCATATTGAGCAGGAAAATCAAAATCATTTTCTTAAAATGATTTGGTTCAAACTTCAGTGTAAGGAGATTAACTCATTTTTAATTTAGCTAATTAAAAAAAAATGTTCTTAATGCAGATATTCCTGGAAGAAAAGAATTTCAGCAGCTCACTTTAAAGAATTGGGACTAGTGACTAGATCTCTTTCCATGACTTACCAGATTCATTTTCAATTATGACATACTTGCATGTGAAATCATAATCACAGCAGTGTATCACTAAGTAAAGTAGAGTTTCTCATCCTCAGCACTCTTGACATTTTTGGGTTGGGTAATTTTTTGTGGCGGGGGGCAGTCCTGTACATTGTAGGATGTTTATCAGCATGCCTGCCCTCTGCCCACTAGGTGCCTGTAGCATACCTCCTTCCCCAGGAGTAACAATCACAACTGTCTCTAGACAATGCCAGGCCTCCCCTGGTAGGTGGGTACAATTGCCCCCAGTTAAGAACCACTGAAGTAAAGCAACAGAAGTGGCAGAATAATCTGAAGTCACTTATGAATTAAGCTACACAGATACTCTGATCATTTACAAATACACGTATGTTCATAAATACGTGTATTTGTAAATGATCAGATTTAGGCAGGTTCAGATTTATGCAACACATATTTGCATAAATATGTGTTGCGTAAATCTGAACCTGCCTTTTCCTACGTTGGTGGCTTTTAATTTTTTTTGACATTACAGTAAGATACAATTTTTACATCATGACCCATATACTTCTTCATTTATATATGTATATAAATATAATAATACTCTTAAATATTATGCACAAATACATTTTATAGTGTCATTTTTTTAATGGTGGTTGTGATCCACTAAATTGAGTTCATGATACACAAATGGATTACTCTCCATTATTTGAAAAATGTCCTAAAACAAGTGCAATGGAGCATTAATAATAGCCAAGATTTATGAAGTGCTTCCTGTGTGCATTATGCATTGTCTTAAATGTTTTACATGCAGCAACTGATTTAATCCTCACAACTCTCTGATGAGTGCTATTATTATCCCTTTCTTAGAGATGAGCAAATTAAAACACTGAAGTTAAGAAATTCACTTACGATCATACAACTATTAGTAGTAATTGGGGGAAGCTGGGATTCAAACCCAAAAGTCTGGCTCCGGAGTTCACGCTCTTTACCACTCTGCTACACCACCTTTCGTTAGTCCCGCTCATTGTCTCTCAAGGGAATAGCTTCAGAGTCAAATGTGAAGAATGTTTCTTTCTGAATTGTCACCTGGAAATGTATAATGCCCATGAACATCTTAAGGCTTTACAGTCCTGTAGTGAAGAAATCCATTTACTTACACAAGTCTTTTTAGTTAGCACTAGCCATCTACAAAGACAAGTTCAGGAATGCCGCTGGATAATTAGGAATCCAGCTACAAGTAATAGGAACTCAACCTGAGCCATTGTAAGAAAAAGCTGGATATCAGAAAGACAACATGGCAAACAACAAGGAGAATCTCTCTAGGATGTCAGTTTCCATTCTGTTTGTCCACTTGGTGGGCATTCTGCTAACAGTTCAGGACTTGTATTATTCCAACTTAAAGCATCTTCTAACTTCAAATGTAAAATTCCAGGAACCCAGGGAATGACTGGCCTGACTGGAATCGTATGCCCACCACTATGATCAGGTCTGTTAACAGAAGAACATGGAAGGAAGAGAAATAACCACTATAATGAGTGGTACAAAATACTTAGAAAAAATAGGAATAAAAATCACATTGTTCTATAAAAAACAAATGCATATAGAGAGCCAACTGTGTATCCAAAGTTCAGTAGAAGTAATCCTATGTTCCAGGGAATGACAAGGTGTGCTTAAAAGTTTAATAGAATGTTTAAACCTGGCCCCCTTTCCTTCTGTTACTTTTTCCTCTGAATGTATTCCCTTCAAATTGGCCATAATATGGGACTGAAATATTTTAAAATATATTGAAATTTAACTATCAATAGTAAAGATTTATACTCTTTCTTTGCAGATTTTAAATCAGAAGACTTTATTTCAAACCTCTTATTAAGCTTTTTGTTTAGAGGATTCCCCATGTCTCATAAGCTTAAAAAAAATTATTCAATAGACCAGCCAAATGGAAGAGGCTTTTATTTGTAAAGAAATGAACTTACAACTGGTCTACAATATATTATTGTAATATAAACAATATAAATAAATGATCCTGTAGGCCCACTAATCTTCCATCCAGACCCACATGAAACAATGTTACAACAATATTCTATGTGAAAATGTGCAGGTAACAAAGGTGCAATTACAAGCAAGTTTAAGCAGCAGAGTATAAGGTGCTTTAATTTAATAGTTAATGTTGCCATCAACAAACATTTGAATGCTCAATTTTACTTCACTGAATACAGACACAAATATGAAAATCTAAATTCATACACATGCTACTTGTTAATATGAAAGTGCTTTCTTTTTTTAAAAAAATACACCAAATGGACACTTTTTACATAGATCAGGTGTGCTCTTATAATGCAAAATTAACTTCATTTTGAGGAAATACATTTTAAAACCATAGCTATCAACACCAATCTAGGAGCTCTAATGCTAAGAGTACTAAACTATTTCATTTCCTTTAAGGAGGACTCTAATACAATATCCAATGTAAAGAATACATCTATATATAATCTTAACATTTGTTTTTTGTAAAGATAAAGTTTTCTTTCCCCTTGGTGATGCTTTGTTCATCCTGGGTGGATCATCTTTTGAGGTTTTAGTAATATGAAAGTCCTATTTTAGAACAATGGGAGGAACCAAAGGAGGAATTTTAAAAAATGGTTAACATGCACTTGAAGTATCAAAAAAAAAAGAGTTTATCACAACGATTTGCCTTCATTAAAATTACCAACAAAACAATTTTTAATAAAAAGTATAAAAAGTACTGATTTCATAAAGAGGCTTGGAATGCCAGCCACCACTGTCAGTATCCATCCCTGTCCACTGCAGTCTACAAATCCAACCTTCACTGCAACATAATCCTTACTTTGAGGGTAGTTTTCGGAACTTATTTGACTTTCCTTCTCCTTATGGGAAAAACATAAAGACCGAGCTTTTGAATAGGGTAATTGGGAATCTAGTTTAAACAACTTAAAAATTATAATTCTAAAATTATACCATCTTTGCACATTCAGTTGACTTTTTAAAACTTAAGAATCCATATAAAGTATGCAATTGATATTTTAACAGAAAATATTTCAAAAATTAGGTTCACTTTAAAAGTAATTTTTAATCAGTACCATGGAATAATTTTTTAAACCCACATTGACTACTTAGATGTTAGTGTTCCTCTTTTCAATTAGTTTGATAGATTCTAGTATAGCTTCTAACTCAACACTTATTTGAACATTTTCCTACTTTAAAAAGCTGCAACTATGATGCACAAAAGATTTTTAAAATATTTTATATTTTCATTTTGTATCTTTATGGAGAATGTTGGTATCAACTGATGAATATTTAAAGATATGTCAATAGGAATTACAGTGTGATTCACAGAATCCCAGAGTGACAATGGACCTTTATCCAATTAATAACTGACCCTCCCATTCAATGTTACTCCCCAAATACTTGTCAATTCAAGCATGGAACTGTTTTATGTTAACAATTCTGCATTTTAAAGGACACCTTTTTATTATGCAATATATGTGCTTTCTATTACTGATTCTTACACATCTTTAGAAGATGGATATTTTAATAGCCTTAAAATACAATAAAATTTATTTTGTGTACTCTTTCTTGCTTTAAAAACAAAAACAAAAACAAGCCTGTTCCAGTACTCTCCTTTGAGATTTTTCAGTTTTGGAAAGTTGCTACACTGTCAATACTGGGTAAAAAGCTTTTATAGTTAAAAATGTACAGTAGCAACCCTTCATAGACAATATTTGTATGTATTCATATGTTCAGTGCTTAACCAATAAGCAGCACTTGGGGAAATGGCTTCATTTGCTTGTGTGTGTGAATGTTC